CATTATAGATATCTAAATGTAGAATACAGATGTTTAAAACATTTGTATGTTTTCTTTATATCACATATGTATACATACACATTCATTTTTGATGATGCTTTGTCATTTATTTTTCCTTTTCATTCTACATTTTTCATTTTGAAAATCATATGTATGATGTTTGTTCCCTTTTGGAAATGGAATTCCAGATCTAAGTTCAACTACCAAAATTATCCTTCCAAACCTTATCATGCAAATTATGTTGGAACAGGCAAGTGGGCTTCACCCAATAGGCAAAAAGGCTTTTATTCCACCAACCATTCCTTCAGTTATCCTAAAACCATTCAGGGCTTTAAATATTAAATAAATAAATGCTCTTTAAATAAAGCAAATCAACTAGGACACAAATATGAAACCAGTGAAACTTTTTCAACAAGGCTTTGTATACATCTCTGGACTGAGGGCTAATGAACTCATGAATAATATAAATAAGAAACAGTAGTATTATCTCAAAAATATGATAGGTTACAAGATGTCTACCAAGAACAGATATACCAAAGGTCATTGGCTGTAACTTTTGGCAGTAACTCTAGCTTCTCATCCTGACTATATCTACCCAGCTTAACATTCTTTTCTTTAAAAGTCTCATTTTTAAAATATGACATTCTAAACTACTGTAGACTTTAATCAATGACTCTGTGACTATTATGGTTAAATTCCAAAAATAATTAAGCCTCTTAGGTTTTACAGTCCGAATTATTAAAATATCCCAAAACAAAGAAAATGTATCTACACAAAAAATGTATCTGCACAAGAATTTTCACCAACATCAGTAATGTCCGGGCTGAGTACAACTTTAAATTGAATTGAGATGGAACATAAATCTTAGATAAACATTTCTATCTGAATTTGTTCACATCATGTTTTTCAAAACTAGCTAAGATTATACTGACATGTCAAAATATACTTTCTCCTGCTCACACAGCTTTTTTTATCAAGCTTAAATTTCTGAGAAAAGAAATGTACATTAGAAAAAAGAATTGGGCAAATTTATTCCACTTCATGTCTTGAAAGCTGTAATTAAAATTCAATATTGCATTTTACATATGGATTTTTATTTGAAACTCCTGTCATGACTAAAATCTTAAAGCTTAGCTAGTTTAATAGAGCCCAATAAAACAGCTCTATTGAATTATACCAAGCCACTGTAGTACACCAGGCTGGAATCTGCTTCTCTTTTATTCCTGACCACCGTACTAAGTTTTAAACCAACAATGTGTGGTTAGCATCCAAGAACTATTTATGCACAGCATAGAAACTTTCAAAAGCCACCCTTCTTCCTTCAAAGAAAGTGCATACATTTACACCTCAAGTATTTCCCTCCAGTCTGCTATTCCTATTGTCACAGTGTTATGTGCTAACAGATCTGCACACACTTGCCAAATATCACTCACTAGAAACTGAAACACCCCCCACAATATGGATCCATTTTAAGAGGGTTTTTTTTTCGTTTAGTGTCGGTCTCCTATCCATAAAAGACTGTACGTACATACTCAAATGCAAAAAGACTATACGTACATACTCAGATTTTTATAGTTAATTCTTGTTTATACAGCAAGATAACTTTGTAATATACATTACAAACAATAGCTATAAACAACATAAAGTTCTACTTTATATTTATATAAATATTAAATAAATATTAAATAAATCTTAATAATGTGTGTGTGTATTGGTAATATACCGTAATTGTCATATGACTTAACCATGGGTTGGGCAAGTCTATAGCTTTCTTTATGCCTAGCTGCTCCAGCATATCACATAATGTTCCTGAACATCAGCAGAAAACTTTGCTAGCTTCAAGTCTCTTCCTCAACATTTCCTAAAATGATCAAGCTGAATTTCACATCAATCCAGGCATTGATAAGTAGTGTATGTGTTAAGATTTAGAGGGAAAAAATTAAAGACACCAATGAGAGTATCTGTTTTCCATAATGAACTTTAAGGCCAAAGCATATAACTACTGCATTTACAATATATGATTTAAGATTGATAATTAGCTTTAATTCCATAAAACATAACATAGCATATTTATGTGATGTTTCCCCACATCTTCTTCTTCTTTTTTTTTTTTAGAGAAATGAATCTATAGATGAAAAATCATTAATTCTCAAGCTGGAATAATATTCAGACTTTCTTCCATAGGAAAAAAAAAATCCTATACAGTTTCAAGTATAAAAAAGGCCTTATTCATACAAATTTCTGAAGAAATAGTACAGCTGCAGCTATCATACTTGGGTTGCACAAATCCAAAGAACTGAGCCTGTTTGGCCTAGTGGCTAAGGTACCAGACTAGAAAGCAGGAGTTCAAGTCTTGCCTTAGCCATGAAAGCCAGCTGGTGACTTTGGGCCAGTCACTCTCTTTTAACCCAATCCACCTCAAAGGGTTGTTATTGTTGTTGTGAAAGCAGAAGGAAGATGTGTTTGATATGTTCACTGCCTTGAGTTGTTTGTAGAAGTAATAAAGGTGGAATACAAGTAAATAAAACAGCAGCAAGGATACAAAAGATTCTTTTCCTTTATATCTAGTTGTTCCAGTGTTTTGCAGGCCAAATACAGTAGCCTTAAGTTCAGACTACTGACACATTTCAAGCAGTTTTCCAGGAATGCATTGACCGGCAAATGTTGCAATTCTATTTCTGTCTATACTTATTAGGATATTAAAGGACCCTTAATACTACAATCTATTTCCTTTCCGTTTCCCAGCCTCTTTGAAATCTCCCTTTAAGGATCATTTCTTTCATGTCTTAAGATGTATTACAGAAGGGCAATTCCTACCTTTATTTCAAAATAATGTGCGCAATTATCAGTAATCTTGAAAGAACAGGCCTGAATGCTTTGTATTTTTAAACAAATATATATAGTGACAAATATATATCTCTCTCTCCCTTCACAAATATTAAAATGGGAGGCAACATAAAAGCCCTGAATCAGAAATGACTGAACTGAGAATTGGCACATCATAACGGATAATTTTATTATCTGTTAACTTTTAATCTTCTACTTCACAATTTGTCTTCATTGGCTTTATTGCAGAGTTAAAACGCGTACCGAGTTGCAAATCAGCAAAACATTTCACGATTGGCAAAAAGCTGAATTTGTTCAACTCTCCTACCAAAACACATTAGTGTCTGCCGTTTAAAAAGTCATTTATGTAAGGGCACATCACTAGTCTACTACTCTGAGCAGCTATGCAGAGACGTTGGCTGGATCATACCTCACCCTAACCTATAATGTGAACTTTGATTTTGACTTGAGGTTGTTTCAGTAAACCCATTGTGGCTTATTCAACAAACCAGGGATCAGCAAGCTATAGATTGCACAGCAACTCCAGCCTTGATAAGGCTTTTACACTGCACCTTTTTTTTATGGATGGCCATATCACCATAACAGGCACTTTCTGAATAAGCAGTTTCTCTCATGATGGCCACCGTCTTCCCACACCCTCTACATTTCCACCCTGCATTCAGGCCATAAAAGTTAAAGACTCCTGCCCTGCTTCCACAAATGGAGAAATTATCACTGGCAGCGCTAAAATAAGTGATGATTCCACATAACTTAGAAAGCCACAAAACGTAATGGGGCTGATCAGAAAGGCAGATTTAAGAGTGCTTCAAAGAGTAACCTCTCTTGTAGCAGCTCAGCATGTGCAACCATCCAGGCCAATCCTGTTCATCTGCTCGTTCAGCTTTTTCCAGCCTGGGCCCTCTCCTACATAAGACTACAATTCCCATCTACAAAGCCCCCTGGCACGGTGGCTGGGAATGATGGGCACTGTCATCCACTGTCATAAAGGGCACCAGTTTAAGAAAGGCTGGCCTTAGCATCTTCAAATACTGGATCCTGGTGCCGAATCCTCTAACTGGAGATTTATTTATTTATTCTTATATTTCCAGAGATGCCACAGAATAAGCTGAGCCCTTTTGCACCTAGAGCAAGAGGCTCTGCTACTGAATGGTTCAGCGTTAATTTCCCTTGCCCGGTTAGTGTAGGAAAGGGAGATTTTTACTCAACAGCCGGAGTCACCTTCGGTAGGAAAGCAGCGGGTCTATGCTGCTTTTTGAAAGATTTTAAAAAAGAGAACCACCCTATTCAGAATACCAAGGACCCTCGTTTTAAAAAGATGCCCGGCGCGGGTCGTTTCCGCAGCGCTTTGGTTTCCAAACGAGCCGCTTAAATTCGCATCCTCTGACCTGCGCGGGGCAAGCAAGGACAGGCCCTCTGCACTCGAGCAGGAGAACTCTTGCTAATAAAGGGGAACATTTGTAGCTCAGGGTTCAAATGAGCTCTCTTGAGCTTGGCTGTTTTCTTGCAGACGTGCACCTAGCACCCTTGTAACTCTCTCTCTCTCTCACACACACACACACACAGAGCACCGCTTCGCCTGGACCGCGGAACTATGTGGGAGAACATCTGAACGCTTAGTCAAGCCCCACTTAAGAGAAAATCAGAATGGGCGAAAGAAAAAAGGGAGAGGCTTGTTAAAAAGCGGCCCGCGCCGCCATGCCAGAGGCCGCTGGGCCGGTTAAGAAAATGAAACAGTAAAGGTTGAGTAGTTTGCAAGGTTGGGAGATGACTACTCCCCCACCCCACCCCCCAAAAAATAAACACTCCCCTCCCGCAAGTGTATATTTTCTTTCTTTCACACGCAGGCGCGCTCGGCGACCGCTCCTGGGTCAGAACTCAAGCAGCCTCTCCACGGCAGCCTCAGCTTCCTTGCGAAGGAACCGCGCTTCGTGGCAGCTCGCTCTCCCTCCCTCCCGCTCGTCGGGCCTCTTCTTCTGGAGAGAGGCAGCCGGGCTGTCTAGGTAACCTAGCCCGTAGGCCCTCCGCCTTTTCCCCTCCTCTTCCGACCTGCGGCGCCGAGCTGGCAAGCGCGCACCGAACTCTTCCCCCCCTTCCCGCCCCGCTTGGCTCTCGCGCGGCCCAGGCTCCTTACCCCACCCAGAGGGGAAACTCACCTCCTCCTTGTTGGTCCCTCCTGGAGGCCGGCAGGAGCAACGCGCTGCCTTCCCGGCTCCTCCCTCTCGCTCTCCGCCCCGACGCGGAAGGAAGAGCCCGGCGCGGCGGCTTCGTTTCTCCTTCTGCCTCTTGCGCGCGTTGCGGTTCTTCGGAGCTTCCTTCGCCTGCCCCGTTCCCGATTCATCCCCCCCTTTCTTTTTTTTTCTCTCTCTCTCTCCCACCCCAAAGATTGGAAAAAAGAGGTGCCTGGTGGTGTCCCCAAATCTTCCGACAGCTGGCCTTACTCAGGAGTCAGCGTTGCCGTCCACCGAGTATTTTTATTTTGGGAGGAGGCGGGGGCGAGCTAATGCCTTTTGGAAAAGACGTCGCGCCCCTTCGACCGAACGGCAATTTTTTAAGCCGCGATCCCGCTTTCCCCAGGCTGAATTTCTCAGCTGCGGAGCTGAGAAATTGAAGCTGGGATTGACACTGTTTGGAGTTATTGTGAAATAACTTGGTATTAATGAAATGAAGAGGGGGAGGAGGGAGAGAAACAGAGAGAGAGAAAAAAACAATCCTTTGCTAAAGGATTCAGAAGAGAAAACACTATTAGTAGTAACTAACCGGTTCATGGAATAGGAATGTTGACATCTAGAAGCATTCTTCCTGTAGTCTAATGTATGGTAGTAATACCACTAATATTAAACTAGGTTTTGTGATAGGCTGACTGCATGGTGCATGGTTATATGAACACCAGTATTGTGCACAATATAGCAGGGCTTATTTCAAGCACAAGTGAAGAAAATTGTAGCTGTAATGTTAGAAAACCATCAGGAAAGATAGGGTCACAGGTTAAAGATGATGGATGCCTAACTGTCCTGAATATCTAGATTACGTTTTTCAGTATTAGTTTCCAAAAGTCTTAATTTGCACTCTTAATTTTGATATTTCGATTGAGGCTTCATAGCAGTGGTGCAACTTACTGTGGGGTTTTACATAAATGAGAGTGGTATATTCATATTTTAATAATTTCCCTTTGAGCCTCAGTATCAAGAGAGAGATCTGACTCCAAATTAGTTAAAGTCTCATTAAAACTCTGACCAGGTACTGAAAAGTTGCCATAACATTCCACACGAGTTTGCTCAGAAACAAACCTTGTATGTCTTTGGCCTTATCCACAGCCCTCTGTGTTTAGGTCTGTCTTATAAAATAAATATCTATGCATCCATGTGTTTCTCTCAAGTTTAAAATTAGCTCTAGATAAAATGGAATTTAGCGCACACAAACGATTAATGGGGTCAAATTATCACAACAATGAGATTGGTAATAAATGTAGTTAAGAGTCCTCCTCCCAATAAACCTGACAATCAAAAATCTATTTTAAAAAACTGAAGTAAATACAGATTGCAGATTTCTAACAACGCAAGTGGCTTTTATCTGTAAAGATGTTAGTTTTGATATATTAGAATAAGAATTCTTTAGCCATTATTTCACTGTCTTTTTTATAGAATGTATAAAGTTGCAAGAAATTGTGTGCGCTCTATATGGGAAGAAAAGGGAGCTGTTAGATGAAAGACAGCCTTATCAGCATAGTAATAAAATGTTAAATTGGACAATGAACATGAAGAATCAGTGAATTGTGTCTATCTCCAGAGCTTTATATTGTCTCCAGTACCAATTTGTCATTTAAAATCATGCTGCCAACCATTACCATTTTACTCTGAATATCAGTAGTGTAACTGGGCAAGGCATCGAAGGCTGCTCAGTTAAGTTGAGAAACCCCCTGTGACCCACAAGTTTCCCGCCTCTGCAATATGAGATGAATCAGCCTATAAAGAGTTCAGATCAATACAACTAACTGAAGGAACATGCATTGCTTGCCACGGCTAACAAGAGGTAGCCACCTTCGTACTGGTGGTGTTTCATCAGTTACATTTTTCAAGGCATTTACAAGCACAATCAATCAGTGCACTGGTGAGGCATGCAATAAATGCAGCTGCTAAGTGGGCTTTTTCTCAGGGCTACCATTTTTAAAATTGGGCATCTATAACTTCTATGTTTAGGTATTATCCCAGACTATTCCTGTCTGCTGCTGTAGCAACAAAAAAGGTTGTTTACCAACTCTCTGATTGCCAGCTACAATTCTTGTCTCCAGAAAGCACATCTGAATATAGACAGTATATCCTAAAGTTTGGGAAATTTAGCCTTGAAAATGTCACGAGGCTTGTGACATATGCTCAAAGCGCCACAAGTCTTTCTGAACAGCATTATGAATGACCTAGCCATTGCCAAATTCTTCATTTTTGGAAGGTCTGTGCCTGTTCTCTCTAGCAGCTCAACCCACATAGATCTCCAGTGTTTCCTGTTTACTTCGCATGAAGTGGGCTATAGTGTGTGAAAGCATGATATACCACAATCAATGTATTAGTCTATTTGGTGTCACAAAGCCCTTTGTGGATGACAGAAAACTGTTCTAATGAGTAATACGCCTCAAAGATGCAGTTGTGTTTAATGCAAAAATAGAATATTCATGGTGACATTTCTTTTTTGTTATTTCATTAAAGCCATTCAGAACTATTTGGGAACTGCTGTTTTTCGCAGTATGTTTAGGATTATGCCTTTCTTAATGTGACACAAGAAAATTGTTATCAAAGCTATTCTATTTTCTGCTTCACTCTAAAACCTTGATTTAAAAAATATATATTTGTTACAATCATGTTCTTCTGTGCTTCCTTCTAAGTTTTTTTGTTTCTTTGTTTTGTTTTGTTTTTGAAGTAGAAATGTAAAACTATCATAAGACTGGGATTTCCTACACCTTTTCTAAGTCGGTGCAGGAAACTTGTACTAAACATACGAGAAGAATGACCATTTATTAAACATGATCCTTAATTGAACACTTGTGAGTTACTCCTCCTAAATTTTTATGTTTTCTTTACATGGAGTGGAGAATGTGTATAGCTCAAAGCTGAATTGTAAGGTTCTTGGTGTTAATTGGTTTAGTTAAAGATGACTACTATTCATTTCTGTGAATCTGTAACAAAGGTTTCCAGTGGTAAGATCAAGAGTCAGTTTGGTCCAGTAGTTAGAAATCAAATGACCATGAGGTCTAGTCCCACCTTAACCATGAAAGCCAGCTGGATGACTTTTGACTCTCTCTTAGGCCAATTTACCTCACAAGGTTGTTGTTGTGGGGAAAAATAGGAAGAGGAAGGTGTGCTACATATGGTTTACTGCCTATTATTTGTAAAAATAAAGGCAGGTTATAAATACATAAAAATAAAATAATGTTCTGGCTGTTTTACACTTCAGAATATCCTTTATATATCTTCGTATTTTGACAGATAAATATAATATGGCCCTAAATACCAGTAAAGTTGTTAATCTCTTATGAGAAATGTTCATACTTTTCTTCCTCATTCAAAGCACCTCCTGCTTTATTTTGAGAGACCTAATAGCTGCAACTCCCAGGAAAATTAAACATTGGACATTTAAGAGGGAACTGTTTGTGGCCATCAGCGTCTCTTGAGGTACCATGAATGAAATACCATTTTTTTTTCTAATTGGCCATCAGGCTGGAGACAGATATTGTAACATTTTCTTTAGAATATTTTTCTACTTCTGTTAATTTGCATACCAATGAAATAAAAAGGCACTTCCTGCCAGTAATTAGCTGGACTCCTGAATTTAAAGAAAGCAAAGGGCTACAACATGAGGGTAAAGAGAGATGGTACCAAGGAAGCTGCAGAAAGCAGCCACTCCTCTTGCACTCAGAAAATGCTTTGGGTTTTGAATTTTAAGCTGGCAACACTTTCATTTTATGTGACAAGAATTAGCTATTTTCCTGGTCTAACAAGTATTCCCTTAATGAGTGCTTTCAGTACTTTTGTCACAGCAAAACCGGATCTGTTCTAAATCCAGCTAGGCTGCTCTGGAGATGGACGATTGTTCTCTCCTAAATTGCAAAAATTTAGGCATTCATGAATTTCATAGCCTAATGTACCTCTATTCCAGCCAGAACAAGGCAGACAAAATTTGAGGTTCTCTAGATAAGTTCACATATCTAGAGTATGAAGGACTTGATATATACCTTTATATAAATGATTTTTATATAAATCATTCTGTGTCACTGGATTTCATAATGACATATGGGTCAGGTATAAGGGTATGAGACTCTCGGTAAGCTCTCCAGGGTCACGCTTTAGTGAGATGGGTGGCAACCAATTCAATAAATAAAATAGCAATGGCACTTAGACTTACCGTATTTTTCAGCATATAAGACGCACCAGAGCATAAGACGCACCTACCTTTTTTGGTTGTTTTTTTAAAGTTTTGTTTTATTTTTTAGACAAACATACAAGCATACAATGTATTTTCTTTGAACAGAGTGTTTGGCTGGTTCACAAATTTAAACAGTGTTTAGTCATTTCAATTAAATTTACAATTCTATATTTCCTTTTTGCCATATTTATTCCTCATCTATTTTTTTAAAAAAACCAATATTACCCTTCATTCTCATCTCTAATCTTAATGAAATTCAATTTTTCCCTTCTATTCTATATTATACCCCTTCCCATTGTCATCTATTTTTATATCCATCCTCACACTGGTTAATTATTTAATATTACAATTGTTTAATACAAATTCAACATTTTTATATAAATCAATTAGTTATAACTATGTTTTTTGTATATTAATCAATATGAACATGAATATTCCAATTATTTCTATGAAATCCAATTTCTTACAAATCAATTAATTATATTTACCAATAATAATAAACCAAATAATTTTCCCCATATATTCCTCCAAACCACAACTTAACCATTTCTGCTTTCAACACAATATACAATTAATAGTATCTCAATTATTACAATTCCCTAGTTAAATAGAACTTTTTTTCTTTTGTGTTTTAAAATCTTGAACTCTCCTCTTTTGCCCTAAATTTCCCATTGTTTGCACCTACCTTTTTTGGTAAGAAAAAAGAAAAAGAAATCTCTCTCTGCCTCATTTTGTCACGTTGCAGCAAAGAACCTGCTTTACTTTTAGTTTCATTTTTTCAGCATAGCTAGGGGGAAAAAAATCTGCTCCAACACTTTTTGCAGCAAGCAGGAGAGCCCTGCGCAAAACAGCTGAGAGCAAATCAGCTGAGAGTCGGGAGGCCGATCTAATC